GCAGCACCTCCACCAGCAGCAGTAGTAGCACGAGCAGGAGGGCGGATCGGGTCGGGTAGGGCGGCTCGGCTCGGCCTGGGCGGCGCGAGCAGCAGGGCGCGCGTCGTGTAGGGCAGCAGGGCGCGACGCGCAGGTTGCAGCAGAGCGCGACGCGCGGGGCTGCAGAGCGCGGCGCGCGGGCTGCCGTAGGGCGCGACGCGCGGGGCAGCAGAGGCGCGACGGGCTGGGACAGCCCGTACGGGCGACGCGACGGGCAGGCAGCCCGGACGGGCGACGCGACGGGCTGGGACAGCCCGTACGGGCGACGCGACAGGCAGGCAGGGCGGACGGGCGACGCGACGGGCTGGGACAGCCCGTACTGGCGACGCGACGGGCAGTCGCAGGCAGGGCGGACGGGCGACGCGACGGGCTGGGACAGCCCGTAAGGGCGACGCGACGGGCAGAGGCATGGCAGACGGGTGACGCGACAGGCTGCAGGGGCGCACAACGCAACGGGCAGCGGGGGCGCGCGACGCCAGGCAGAGCAGAGCGTGCGCGGGGCAGCGCAACGCGGGGCAGGGCATTGCATGCGCGGGGCAGCGCAACGCGGGGCAGGGCAGGGCGTGCGCGCGGGCGGCGCAGCGCAGGCAAGGCAAGGCAAGGCGCAGGCAAGGCAAGGCAAGGCAAGGCGCGCGCGGGCAGCGCAGCGCAGCGCAGGCAAGGCGCGCGCAGGCAGCGCAGCGCAGGCAACACGTGGGGCAGCTCAGTAACCACAACGGTAGGTGGGCCCGAAAAAAAAAAACAAACAAAAAAAACAAACAAAAAAAAAACAAAACCCGAAAAAAAAACGGTCCTACGGACCTACTGCTCTGAAACCATGTGAAAAACTACAGGCAGGAATGAATGAACTAGCAGCAGGATGGGTACAAGTATGAAACCCTAATTTGGGTTGTACCCCATATGGGCTACCCCACTACAGCCTACACAATAAGCAGCATATAAGTTTGACACGTTGGACGGGAGAGGTTGGCGATGCGTCGCGTTTCCGAGTCTGGGGTGCTCGTGCCCTTGTCCGCGATACGTCCGCGGACAAGCTCTCCTCCCGCACCATTCCCTGTGTCTTCCTTGGCTTTGTCCCTGACGCGCCTGGCTAGCAGTTTTACCACCCCACCTCGCGACGCGTCTTCCCCTCTTAGGACGTCACTTTTGACAAGTCAGTTCCTTTCTACCGTCTCTTCCCCTACCGCACTGCCCCTCTCCCTCCCCCGCCGCTTTTCCTCGCTCCTGGTCCCCCTCCGGTAGACCCCCTCCCCCCTCAGGGTCCCGTTCCTTCAGGTGTGTCTCAGGTAGACCCACTCCCCTTGGCTGAGCCTTTGGAGGTCACTTCCGACACCTCTGGCCCAGCTGAGGGGGGTGACGTTGCTGCTGACGCCCCGGCGGCCTACCGCCGCTCACCACGCTTGGAGACCCCTCCGGGTTTCCCGCCGCGACCTTCTTCGCCGCCTCTGCAGCCGGTTACTGTTGACTCTGGTGCTGCTGGGGGTGGTGCTACTCGGGGTGCTGCGTCTGGGGGTGCTGAGCCTGTGCGTGAGGTGCTGGGAGGTGTGGAGCCTGGGGGTGCTGAGCCTACGAGTGCGGAGCCTGAGGGTGCTGAGCTGGAGGGTGCCGGGTCGAGGGGTGCTGAGTCAGCTGGCATTCCTACAGCTCGTGCTGCTGGGGCTAGAGGTCCTGCTGCTGGGGGTGCTGCTGCCGGAGGTACGTAATGGGGCTGGAGGCTCTGGAGCTAGTGCTGTAGCCAATATGGGGTATAGCCCCATTTGGGTTTCATACTTGTACCCAACTTTCATCTAGTTCATTCATTCCTGCTTGCTATCTTGACAGACTTCGCTAAGATCAAGAATGACAAGAGGGAAGTAGTTGACTATTGAGAAAGATAAAAGATATAGTGCAAGGTGGCAAAAGGGCGGTATACCACCAACAGAGAAGTGTAAATGATGCTACACTAATAGTTATTAATGTAGTTATATAAGAATGTGCAATTCTAGCATCCTCCCTGAACTGCATGCAAAACTAGATAGTAAAGGGTGCTCTACCCAAAGAACTGCAATCACCAAGCAACAGCTTGAACCACCGTGGTTGAACCCCCACGGCAAGTGCCCGTTTGAAGTTCAACCACCGCAATAGGTGCCGGTGTGCACGACGAGGGGCGTTCACGCCAAAGAAACGACGGATAGTAACGAAACGAGAAAAGAAAAGAGAGAACGGATGATGAGTGAAGCACGAGTAGAAGATGAGAGGATGAGGAAGAGCGAGAGTATGTGCAGGGGAAGAGAGAGGGAGAAGAGGCTGTTGCCTTCACATATCTGCCACCCCCACACCCTCTCCTCCCCCCAACAATGCAGCACGCGGAATAGATGCACATGCAGCGATGAGGAGGAGGATAAGGGAGGGGCAGGAGGGTTCAAGGGGGCTTCAGTACCCACGTAGCCACGATCGCGTGTTAGAAAGTAGGTCATGGGAATTATTGACTAGTGGAAGCAGGGATACAAGTATCAATGACGAGTCTAAAGCGTTATACTCTATGCTAGGTACCTCACTGCAGCCTAACAAAACTAACAGCATATAAACATATTTTGAACGCGCGAGCTTCGCCACCTCCCCACCACAATGTCCACCGTAGAAAAGCGCGGCAGCAGGTGCGGAGGTGGGGAGCGAGGTTGCGTTAACGGGCGCTGGCGGCTGCTATTGGCGCTGGCGTTCGCGACCGGCGCTGGCGCATGTTGCTACCGCTAGTGCTGGCGATTGGTACTGGCGCTGGCGACGGTTGCTGGCGATGGCGCACGTTGCTCGCGGTGGCGGTCGCACTGGCATTCGCGGTGGTCGCTAGCGCTAGCGCCGGCACTTGCGACGGTCGCTGGCGCTGGCGCACGTCATTGGCAAGCGCTAGCGCTGGCGTTCGCAACGGTCGGTGGCGCTGGTGCCGGCGCTCGCGACGGTTGCTGGCGCTGGCGCTCGCGCTCGCGACTGTCGCTGGCGTTGGCGCTCATGCTCGCGACGGTCACTTGCGCTGGTGCAGACGTTCACGGCCAGCAGCGAGGCGACGAGGCCATGGATAATGGGGCCGTGCGCAGGTCGTGGCGACCAGCGCGCAGGGCGGGTAGCGCGGGGCGAGCAATGCGTGGCGGGCAACGGGAGAGCACATTGAAGGGCGTTGCAGTGGGCGCCATGTGAACAAGAACAGCCATGGCGGAAGGAGAAAAGGGAGAAAAAAAAAAAAAAAAAAAAACAAAAAACCAATAAACTCGGTCCTTAAGAATGTACATGCCCTAGTTGAAAATTGGGTTAACATAGTAACTATGGCTCTTAGGTTGAGATCGTGACTTGGCTAGGATCAAGCATGTCGAGAGGGAAGTGGTTGACTAATGAGAAAGATATAAAGTATAGTTTAAGGGAAGGTGGCAAAAGGGAGGTATACCACCAGCAGAGAAATTTAGATGATACTACACTAATAGATTTTCATGCAGTTACAAAAGAATGTGCAATTCTAACTCTTGTTGCCATAATGAAACCCCTCGTCCCTTCTACTCTCGATAGATGCCTATCCAAACCCTAGGCATTTCTAAGCATATCTTGAAGTGGTATCTAGAGCTACTATGGTCTAAGGACCTGATCATCATTTCTAATGGCGCCCGTTGCATTGCCCGTTAAGACACTCGCCGCGCCACCCACCCCACCACCTGCCCCGCCCGTCCCATCCCATAGCCAAAGACGCGCAACTGCACAAAGCTGCGCGCAGCTGCGTACAGTCGCGGACAGCCGCGCGCAGCCGCACACGTTCGCGAGCGCCCGCACCTACAATGACCGCCAGCGCAGGGGTGCCAAAAGTGAGCTATAGTCGCACTAGCTGCCGCCCTCTCTCTTCCTTTCCCTCTCCCTGTGGGTGCAGAAGTCAAGGTGGGGGGGGAGGTTGTGGGGGTGACGTTGAAGTCTTCTGTACCGTGCTTCGTTTTCTCTTGTTCTTTTCTCTCGCGTTCTTGTCTCTCCCTTCCATCGTTCGTACGCCGCCCTCCCTTTAGGTTCGTTGTATTTGGGCATGGGCACCCTCAACGAGCACACTGGGCATCCACTGCGGGGGTTAAACCATAGGCGGGAATGCCACCGTGGGAGACAACCACGTGGGCCCAGTTGTGGCATAGTGATTGCTGCACTTTGGGTTGAGCGCTCCTACACTAGCTAGTGTTGCATACAGGTAAGAGGGAATGCTATAATTGTATATTCTTCTGTAACTTCATGGACAATCAATCAGTGTTAGTATCACAATAGTATTTTTATGTTGCTGTTGTACCCCCCTTCCCACCTTGCCTTGAACAATGTTCTATATTGGGTGCCATAATGAATCCCCTCTTCCCTTCTACTCTCGATAGTTGCCTACCCAAACCCTACCCTAGGAACTACTAAGCATATATTGAGAGCAACTATGATATCACAAGTGTTTGTGAACGCTCCAAAAGGGATGCTAATACATATCAAAATTGCAACCGAGATTGATACGACGAAGAGACGTTGCACAAGTGATGATGACAATCTCGGATTGCAGCACGATACATAATAGCACCACATATCGAAACGAGCACAAAAAACAGATGTGAGAGAACAAACATGAACATATGTGCCCTGAAGTTGTTGCCAATATGCATTAATGTTGCAACTGAGATTGATGGGGTTGTTGAAACAACGAAGACACGTTGCACCAACGACGATCACAATCTCGAATTATAGCATGATACATATTAACACCAAACTCCGTAATAAAACAACAAACACCATCCAAGGTTGATGTGCACGTATTTAGACACGTGTGACACTTGTCCGCTGCCCGCCCAGCGCAGCCCGCAACGCGCTACCAGACCCACGCGCTGGGCGCCCTGTCCCCGGAATATTTCCCCTCGTCCTCTCCCTTCACGTTTCTTCATTTCGCTCGCTTCATCCTTGCACTTTATAATCGGCGAAATCATATGGAGATGTTTGGGCTCACAGCATTACTGTAGCAGCAGCAGGGTGCGGTGCAACCACTGCAGCAACCCCAATGGCTCCGCCACCACCACCACCTCCACAAACAACAACAGCAGCAAAGTGCGTTGCAGCCACTCCAGCTGCACCAATAGCGATGCCGCCACCACCACCACCACCACCACCACCACCACCACCACCACCACCACCACCACCACCACCACCTCCTGTTACTGCATCTTTTCTAATAGATCAAAGATCATCAAGATCACGGATGATGCTATTCTTGCTCGAGTCACGCAGAGTCCAACTCTTGTTCTCACCGCAACAGCTGTCGCAAGTGATGCATATTGTCCATAGTTATCATGTTTGTAATGCATGTTAGTTCACACTGAAGATAAGATCAATTCTACCACTTGAGGACTTGTTGAAAGTAGATAAAAAAAAAAAACGTTACAAGCATGCAAGTTCGAAATTCAATTGGTTAGCATGAACCATGTTCGACACTACTCTCACTCCCATTGTTGGGCTCCAGCCGTTGGAACAATCGCTGCTGCAATCTGCTTATTGATGGAGGAAAGCTTGGTGGGGCAAGGGGAACCGATAGGTAGTGGAAGGGCGATGAGTTTAGAGAGGTAAGAAGGGGACAAACGGGGGGGAGGAAAGGTGGGGAAAAGGAGAAAGGGGGGCAAGCAGGAAATACAAGTAGAGGGTAGTGAAGTGATGCATCAAAGGGAAGGAGAGAGATGAAACGGAGGAAGGAGAGAAGGGAAAAACAAGATAAGGGAGAAAGAAAGGGAGGGGAAAAGAATTACAAGTCATGAAAGCAATAGTCGATAACATAGGACAACAAAGGGGCAGGACTCTTAAAAGGGAAAGAAAGGGCTGCAACAAAGGGGGGAGACGAGCTAAAGAGCTGAAGGCACCCAAGAGTGGAGCGCACCTCTTCCGCTTGCCTCATTTACCATCGAGACTTTAGGAACAGCAATATCATCAACAGTGGAGGTCGACGACAATTATGTGTCAATGATCTGAGACGCACGAAATTGCATCTCCGTTTGACTCGCATTCACTTGTGCCTGTGAGTATCCGCTGCCTTCATTTTTCTGCCTCTACCATTCGTGCCACTCCTGCTTGCACTATCATCCCCTTTCTGCACATCTTCTTGCGGCCTCACACATCCATCATCGCTACTTGCACCAGCTTCACATCTTGAACATTGTCGTCACTTGATGCACCTTTTTCGTCAGCACCCTCTTCTACATTCTCCTCACCCTCTTCTTTGCCCTCCTTCTCGCCCTCTTCCTCGCCCTCCTTCTTGCTCTCCTCTTTCTCGCCCTCCTCGCTCTCCTCGTCCTCACCGTCCTTGCAACCCTCCTCATCGCCCTCTTTCTCACTTTCCTCATTGCCCTCTTTCTTAAGCAATTTGAGCATGTGTGCTCTCAAGGGTGGGCTAAAAGATTTCAAGATTGCAGCATAGACTGTCAGAATCTCAGCCACTAACCACTGGGATAAAAGGGCTTGTTTATGTAGCGGGTGAGTGCGCCCATAACCCCCCAGGCCAACGTGCCTGTAACCCTTCCCTAGGATCAATCGGGGATCACCAGTGGACCTCTGACACCCCCCCGCACTGGGATGCCCGAGGTGCACACACCGGGATTCGAACCCAAGACCTTCGCTCTGATACCATGTCAGAATCCCAGCCACTAACCACTGGGATAAAAGGGCTTGTTTATGTAGCGGGTGAGTGCGCCCATAACCCCCCAGGCCGCCATGCCTGTAACCCTTCCCTAGGATCAATCGGGGATCACCAGTGGACCTCTGACATAGACCACAACGGATCCTTCTTGGAAGAGAGAGATATTATCGAAATTAAACATTATGTGTTGTCAAATCGAGGTATGTAGTCCAATACAACAAAGGCGTTGTGCACTAGGCGTTGTGCTCTCAAGGGTGGGCTGAAAGATTTCAAGATTGCGGCAAAGACCACAACTGATCCTTCTTGGAAGAGAGAGATATTGTCGAAATTACACAATATGCGTTGTCAAATCGAGGTATGTAGTCCAATACAACAAATGCACTATGCACTAGAATTAACATCATGCTGAAAGCGACGTTGTATACTGATCCTTCTGGAGAGAGGAAGATATTGTCGAAACTACGCAATATGCGTTGTCAAATCAAGGTATGTAGTCCAATATAACAAAGGCATTGTGCACTATAAATAACCTCATGCTGAAAGCAATGCTATGCTGCAGCCAACCCTATTAATTAATATTATGTTTTGGATTAAGTTATACCATATTTATCGTTGGTCAAAATATAATTTCACAATTAATTACGTTTGTCTTTTTCATACTATCACAGATAGTCACAAAGGCGGCTGAAAATCACTTTGACAAAATTATCACTAGGGTTTAAAATATTAATTCTGTATTTGATCATTATTTGATGCATGACAAGATATAATTTTTGTTTCCATATATATATATATATGTGTGTGTGTATGTTCTCTTGTTTGCACATGAATTGACACGTTATTTGTGCGTTCTTTTTATATATATATATATATATGTTATTTATAGAAGGAGCAAGTTGCGGCTATGACAAAAAAACAAGTGTGTGACATCGACACCAGTGAAACTCGCACAGCGTTGTGGCAGCCAGGTAAGATGGAAAGCATTGTTTTTAAGTATCAATCATTATACTCAGTATATATATATATATATACAATATGGGGCTAATTGCAGCATGGATTTCTTCAATGCATTAATGTAATTATCTAATTTGTTGCATTTTGTAGACTTGTTTTTTTATTCTTTCTATTACCTGTATATTGTGTTTCTGTCAGAAAAGGCTCAAGACCCATAGCTTAGTAACCTAGTGTTTTGGCTAAGAAGCGTAAATATCGAGGGAAGGAGAGAGGTGAAATGGAGGAAGGAGGCGAGAAGGGAAAAACAAGGTAAGGAAGAAAGCAAGGGAGGGGAGAAAAACGACAGATAAAAATATATATATAATAATAATATAAAATATACTATAATATATTATATATATATGCAATATTATAGTACAACAGTGGCAGAACATTTAATAGGGGTAGAAATGGCTTCGTGCAACAAAGAGGGGAGACGGGTTTGTCAGAATCCCAGTCACTAACCACTGGGATAAAAGGGCTTGTTTATATAGCGGGTGAGTGCGCCCATAACCCCCCAGGCCAACATGCCTGTAACCCTTCCCTAGGATCATCGGGGATCCCCAGTGGACCTCTGACACCCCCCCGCACTGGGATGCCCGAAGTGCACACACCGGGAATCGAACCCGAGACCTTCGCTCTGATACCATGTCAGAATCCCAGTCACTAACCACTGGGATAAAAGGGCTTGTTTATATAGCGGGTGAGTGCGCCCATAACCCCCCAGGCCAACATGCCTGTAACCCTTCCCTAGGATCATCGGGGATCCCCAGTGGACCTCTGACAGGGTTGAACACGGAAAGGCATTCAACGGTTATTTCTTATTGCCCGAGTACCGCTTCCGCTTGCCTCATTGATCCTCAAGACTTTTAGAACAACGGTTTCATCAACAGTAGAGGGGGGTGGCAATGGCATGCCAATCATATGAGATGCATGAAATTGCATCTCGGTCTGACTCGCATCCACCTGCGCGTCACTCGTGCGAGTCTCCATTGCCTTCCTTTTTCTGCCTCTACCATTCGCGCCAATGCTGCTTGCCCTATCATCCCCTTTCTCGACAACTTCTCGCGCCCTCACACCTCCATCACCCGCTACTCACACCAGTAGCACCTCTTGAACATCGTCATCACTTGATGCACATTCTTCATCATCACTTCCTTCTACATTCTCCTCACCCTTTTCCTCGCCCTCTTTCTCGCCCTCTTCCTCGCCCTCCCCCTCGCCCTCCTCCTCGCCCTCCTCTTCGCTCTCCTTCTCTTCACCCTCCTCTTTGCTCTCCTCCTCTTCACCCTCCTCGTTCTCCTCCTTCTCGCAACCGTTCTTGTAACCCTCACCCTCGCCCTCTTTCTCACTCTCCTCCTCGCTCTCTTTCTTCAGCAACTTGAGCCTGTGTGCTCTCAAGGGTGGGCTGAAAGATTTCAGAATTGCGGCATGGACCGCAACTGATGCTGCAGGGACAACGGAGACATTGTGGAAACTCTACAATATGCGTCATCAAATCAAAGTACGTAATCCAATGCAACAAAGACGTTGTATACTATAATTAACCTTATGCTGAAAGCGACGTTGTGTACCAGAGTTAACCCCGTGCTAAAAGGAACGCCATGCTGCAACCAAACCTATTAGCAGGTGTGCGGTGGAAGATGCAGCGGCGGCAGGTGTGGTGATGGTAGCTCTACTTTACTCCTGCCACCCCCTCACCATTCTTCCCCACAGCAACAGTTGTGGCAGTAGGAGAGAGGCTAGGGAGGTGAAGATGCAGTCGGCGATGTGTGACGCCAACTCCGTCGAGCAGGGGACGGTGGTGCGAGGCAACAGGTAGTCGCCCGGGAGACCCTGGCGGCAACCCGCCATCACGAGCGCGCTGCGCACGGGCACCGTCTTGCAGTACCGCATGCTTATGATGCTGTCGTCCCAACCCTCCAGTGCGGCTATTTCCGAGGGGGCCAAGCCTGCCCTAGCACCGAACTGCGCTCCGGCCTCCCGCGGGCAGTGCACGACGCGTCGGCACTCGACGCGTGTGGCCTCGAGCGTCCTGGCGTACCACTCATGATGCACGGAGGGGCCTATCCGCTTCGATGACCCCTGTAGCACGGGGAAGAAGAGGTATCTGGCGTGCCAACCTGGTGTGCTTCGAAAGTCCAAGGGGGGAATGATTAGTCGCTCAGCGGCGATGTTGTACACCCAGTGCAGCCAGAGCATGACGGCGCCCACCGCGTACAGCACGTAGTCTGCGTGACGGCACGCAAACACGGAACGGCGCCCACGGCCCTGCGGCGTCTTGCAGTGGCGCACGGTGAAGCACATCATGACGGCGTCGCTGGCCGGCGGTTGTTTGGCGTCGACTTCGACGGTCGAGAACTTGAGGTCGGGCAGCTGCAGGTTGCGCAGGGTCACCCCACGGGCCAGCGTCGCGTGCGACAGCAGGAGCATGACCCGCGTGCACAGCGCTCTGTGCAGGCCCGTTTCGCAGTGCAGCTGGGCGTCGTGGTGCAGGCGAGCTTCGTCTAGCACCCGGGACCGTCAAAACGGCGCGGCGGCGTCGGCCAAGGTCGTGTCGCGCATCATCCGCTCCCACTTGTGCGGCGTATACGTGCCCGCGACGGTCCCCTGGTGACGGTCCGTGCCAGGCCTGCACCTCGACGTATATTGTAGAGTTTTCACAATATCTCCCTCTTCCTAGCAGCATCAATTGCGGTCCATGTTGCAATTCTGAAGTCTTTCAGCCCACCCTTGAGAGCACACAGGCTCAAATTGCTGAAGAAAGAGAGCGAGGAGGAGAGTGTGAAAGAGGTCGAAGGTGAGGGTTGCAAGAAGGGCTGCGAGAAGGAGGAGAACGAGAAGGAGGGCGAAGAGGAGGAGAGCAAAGAGGAGGGCGGAGAGAAGAAGAGCGAAGAGGAGGGCGGGAAGGAGAGCGAGGAGGGCGAGGAGAAGGGCGAGGAGGAGGGCGAGGAAGAGGGCGAGAAAGAGGGCGAGGAAGAGGGTGAGGAGAATGTAGAAGGAAGTGATAACAAAGGTGCGTCAAGTGTTGACGATGTTCAAGAGGTGCAGCTGGTATGAGTAGCGGAGTAGGTGTGAGGGCGCGAGAAGATGTGGAGAAATGGATGATAGTGCAAGCAACATTGGCACGAATGGTAGAGGCAGAAAATTGAAGGCAATGAAGACTCGCACGAGTGACGCGCAGGTGGATGCGAGTCAGACGAAGATGCAATTTCATGCGTCTCATATGATTGGCATGCCGTTGCTACCCTCCTCTACTGTTGATGAAACCGTTGTTCCAGAAGTCTAGAGGGTCAATGAGGCAAGCGGAAGCGGTACGCGGGCAATAAGAGATAACTGTGGAATGCCTTTCCGTCTTCAACCCGTCTCCCGTCTTTGTTGCAGGAAGCCATTTCTACCCCTTTTAAAGGTTCTGCCATCGCTGTACTATAATATTGCATATATATATATATATATATATATTTTATCTGTCGTTATTCTCCCCTCCCTTGCTTTCTTCCTTACCTTGTTTTTCCCTTCTCCCCTCCTTCCTCCATTTCACCCCTCTCCTTCTCTCTGATACTTACGCTTCTTAGCCAAAACACTAGGTTACTAAGCTGTAGGTCTTGAGTGTTTTTTGTGTTAGTAATAACGGACTGGAATGGTGAACTAGAAAGGATTGTGAGTACAAATATGAAACCCTAATGTTGTGACCCCCCTATAGGCTAACCCACTACAGCCTACACAAACACAACATATATATAATGTTTGACACACCCCCATAGGCAAAGTGGGGGAGACCTAGGGGTCACAAGACCAGTCAAGGCAAAGCAAGGCAACAACAAGCTCAGGGTGGATCTCAAGGATACCACACAAATTCCGAGCACAAGCTAGTGGTCACAAGACCAGTTCACATGCAGGTTTATAACAGAGCATGAGATACAGTGATCACAACCTAGCAAGAGTAAACATGCAGGTAGATATATATATAGTGATCACAGTACAAACAAGGTCAAGAGGTAAGTAAGTGAGGTCCAGTAGGCACAAGGCCTAGCAGAGTGCAGAAGCGCTGATGGTCACAAGGCGGAAGCGCCTTGGTGAACACATCAGCAAGGTTGGCCTCAGTGGCCACGTAACGCAGACAAAGCTGACCGCGCTGCTGCAGCTCTCGAGCAAGGAAGTACCGCAGGGCGATGTGCTTCGTTCTGTGCTCCAGTCTGTGCTCCTCACACAAGGCAATAGCAGCCTGGTTGTCGACGTACAGCACTGGAGGAGAACGAGGCCGCTCACCCAAGTCGGTCAGCAGGTAGGTCAGCCAGCGTAGCTCCTGGGCCGCCATGGCTGTGGCGTAGATCTCAGCCTCACAACTGGAGCTGAGAACAGAAGAAGAGCGTGTAGAACGCCAAGAAACTGAGCCGGAGCCAAGGCTGAAGGTGTAACCCTAAGACGACCGCTGAGTAGCCTGGTCGTCCGCCCAAGAAGCGTCTGAGTGTCCAGTAAGTACAACTCGGTCTCGCCCTCCAAGCACTAGCCCCATGCCCGACGTACTGCACAAGTAGCGCAACACCCTCTTAGCGGCATCCATGTGCTCCTTCCTGTGACGGCCAGGAGCGACATAGCGTGCAAGGATGCTAAGAGGGTATGCAAGGTCAGGTCGAGTGCAGGTCATCAGGTACATGAGGCAGCCCACAAGCTCTGGATACGGGCCACTCGGCTCTACGGACTCATCCGAAGGCAGAGCTGAGAGCGAGTGACCGGTAGGCAGAGGAGTGGACTGAGGCGAGGAGTACGTGAAGCGGAAGTGCTGAAGGATCTGCTGCACCATGTGTGACTGAGTCAAGGTGATGGTGCGCCGTTCTCTGTCCCGGGTGATCCGCAAGCCAAGATAGCTTGTCAGTTCACCCAGGTCTGTGCACGTGTGTCTCCTCTGCAGCTCCGACTTCACGTGGGCAAGTGCCGCGGTGTCAGCAGTGGCAAAGACCAAGTCGTCGATGTACACGAGGATGTAGAACGGCGGCAGTGAGGTGTCTGTGCGTAGAAACAGTGACGGGTCAGCAGTAGAGGGAGCGAACCCAAGAGCCGCAAGTGTCGTCCTCAGTGTGTCGTGCCACTCACGCGGTGCCTGGCGGAGACCGTAGACCGGCCGCTGAAGCCTCCACTGGGTACCAGGAGGAACCGACCCAGTGAAGCCAGGAGGGCGGCGCAGCCAGATCTCCTCGTGCAGGCTGCCCTGCAAGAAAGCAGTGCTGAAGTCAAGTGTCTGAAGCTCGTAGTCGCGCTGAGCGGCTATGTGCAGCAGCACCCGAAGAGTGGTCATCTTCGGGGTGGGGGAGAAGGTCTGAAAGAAGTCAACTCCCTCTCGCTGACTGAAGCCTCGAGCCACGTAGCGCGCCTTGAAGACAGGAGGAGAACCCGGTGGCCGCTTCACCCTGAAAATCCACATGCCACTGACGATGTTCGCCCCAGGTGGGGGAACCTCGTCGACGTAGGTGCGTGTGGACTTCCAGGAAGCCATCTCTGCGTCCATGGCTGTCTGCCACTGAGAGGAGTAGGGACCCGCCATCGCCTCAGCGTAAGTGCGCGGGGTCGGGATGTCTGGTGCATCCGGGTCTCCCTCAGGGGCAACTAGCATGGACACGAGGTGGGGCAAAGCAGCAGCAAAGCACTGGAACTCCTCCTGTCTGTCCTCAAGGACGTCCGTGCCAAGAGCACACTCACCCCCGACGGACGGAGGACAGACAAACTCAGACTCAGACTCAGCAACAAGGCCAGTGGCGTAGTCTAGACGACAGGCAGCAGCAAAGTCAACTAACTCAGCGACCAGAGAAGACGCAGCGGTGGACTCAAAGGTAGGGTCAGTGACAACAGTAGCGAGGAGACGGGTGACAGTGGGACTGGCAGCACGACGGGAGTCAGACTCCGGGTCAGGAAGAGTAGGCAGAGAGGAAGCAGGAGGAGACGGTAGCGGGACACGCTGAGGAGCAGTGGAGGGACGCAGAGTCATGTAGTGAGTGCCAGGGACAGGAGGAGGACGCTCACGTGGGACACGACGACCAGTGCGAGCAGTACGAACAGGCGACGCAGGACGAGACTCAGGCTCACGACGCTCTGTAAGACCTCCCGTGGGACCAGTGTAAGGAGAGGGAGCAGGGAGAGGCGAGGCAGGCGGTAACTGTGACGGCGACTGGACAGGCGGAGGACACTCTACTGAGGGAGGAGGACAGGGAGGAGGAGCCTGACCAAGAACCTGCTGAAGAAGTGGTACGAAGTACGGTCGGGGCCGCGTAGCGTCTCCAGAACCAGCAGAGACACCAGCGGCAGGGTCCTCAGCACCAGCAGCAGCTCCAACGTCCGGGTCCTCAACACCAGCAGCAGCTCCACCGGCCGGGTCCTCAGCACCAGCAGCAGCACCACCGCTCGGGTCCTCAGCTCCAGCAGTAGCTCCACCGCTCGGGTCCGCAGCACCAGCAGCTTCGCCACCGCTCGGGTCCGCAGCACCAGCAGGAACTCCACCAGCCGGGTCCTCAGCTCCAGCAGCAGCTCCACCGCTCGGGTCCCCAGCTCCAGCAGTAGCTCCAACGTCCGAGTCCTCAGCACCAGCAGCAGCTCCACCGCCCAGGTCCTCAGCACCAGCAGCAGCTCCAGCGCCCGGGTCCTCAGCACAAGCAGCAGCGCCACCGCTCGGGTCCTCAGCACCCGGAGGACCACTCCGAAGACTGCAGCGGCGTGTGTACCACTCTCGGATCTGCTGAATGGGGGGGAGCTCCTGGGTAGGAGGGGAAGTACCGGGACGAGCTCCAGCAGCACCTCTCCGGAGGCGGCAGTACTCGAGGTACCTCTCCTGCAGCTGCTGGGAGGAGAGGGCTCCTCCAAGTGTAGCACGCTCAGTCTCAGCACCCCCAGACTCAGCACCCCCAGACTCAGCACCTCCAGGCTCCGCACCGCCAGGCTCCGCACCTCCAGGCTCAACACCCCCAGGCTCCGCACCCCCAGACTCAGCACCCCCAGGCTCAGCATGTCAAACATTATACATGTTGTATTTGTGTAGGCTGTAGTGGGTTAGCCTATAGGGGGGTCACAACATTAGGGTTTCATATTTGTACTCACAATCCTTGTTAGTTCATCATTCCAGTCCGTTATCACTGACATGGTTTCAGAGCAGGTCCTTCGCTAGGACCGTTCTTAGGGCCCACCACTATATACCTACCTACCTACCTACCTGCGCCTTAGAGCGCCTCGGTTCTTACGGCCCCTTAAGGCCTCGCGCCCTCGAGCGCATTTCCCTACCGCACGCGCACGATCCGCTAGCTACTCGCGCGCGGGTCCTTTTTTTCGCGCGCGCGGCTTTGTTTCTTACGCGCGCGGCCCGTCGCCTGCTCGCGCACGCCCTGCAGCCGCCCGTCGCCTGCTCGCGCACGCCCCGCAGCCGCCCGTCGCCTGCTCGCACACGCCCC